TTTCCCTTGGTTCTAAATTGATGGAAAATTCTTATTTATTTATTTATTTACTTTAGCTAAAGCAAAAATTGTGGTCCGTGAATTCCTCCCCTCCGCTTCTCTCTCTCTCTTTTGATATGTAACCTGACTGGCTTTGCCTCCTTAACCTACAGTTTCATCAAAATTTTATAGTGTCAACATAGGTACCAATCAACTATAAAGTAGTAGTTTTGAAATTTTAATGGATGAAACAGTTGCAAATGAGATTTGGGGAAAACAATTGTTAGAGGGTGTAAATATTTGGCCTAAGAAACCAAACCTACTCTACTCTTTTTGGGATTCAGAAGTTAACATGATTTTGCTTTTCATAACAGAGGCAACTAATAAAACGGATGAGGAATCTGATACCCTACACAGGCAGCTTCTTGATCAAGAAATTGATATCTCAGCATTTGTGCAGAAGTATAAGAAATTGCGCCAGACTTACCACAAACAAGCACTTACTCACCTTGCAGCCAAGACATCCATAACTGGCTAAAAACTGGGCATTAAGTTACTACTCATTTTACTGTCTTACTCCATTTCTATACTACTAATGTTTTGGATGTTTTTACTGCCGGACCTATGACTCTCATGTACATCTTGTCTTAAACTGCCATTGGTGTGATGGATACTTTTTCATTATGGGGTGAAATTAATCTTAGGGTGTGTTTGGTTTGCACAAGGGAATCAGAATCGGAATGTGAACCAAATACTTGGTAATGGTAATGGGCTTTTGTGAACGTATTTTGCATGTTTGGTAATAGGGTGGAATTTGAATGATTACCAATATTGATATTTGGTTATGTATGACCCTATATTTGAAATAAAGGTTTTTAAAATACAAAATAATAATAATAATAATAATAATAATAATAATAATAATAATAATTTAAGGCAATTGATCTTAATATAATGACATCTAAAGCACGAATATGAACAAAAAAAAATATCAAAGCAAAAATCTAAAAGTACTAATCCAAATTTAAAAATCAGATTACGAATAAGATGGAATGATACCCGTTTTTAATTAGCGAATGAGGTTTTTAATTGAAAGAGTAATCAAATATCATAGTTGTGTTTTAAAAAATTGTCAACCAAACACTAATTATAATTTTGATTCCCATTCCCGGTGTGTAAACTCATGAACCAAACACACACCTTCGAGTTAATACCCAAAATCGTCCTCGACTATAGTGATTTTTCTCAATTTCGTCCTAAACGACTTTGGTGACCTAATATCGTCCCAGTCTTTTGTGTTTCGCTCAATTTAGTCCCAGACTTTTGTGTTTTTGCTCAATTTAGTCCCTCATTTGTTATTCTGTCCATTTGGTGTTAAATAAATAGACAATTCAGTAATTTCAGTATTGGTATCTCTTTACTCATAGACATGTGAATTGCAAAATCTTTTTTTTTTTTTTTACGAATTACTCCTAAAACTGCGAATATAAAATTTGATTTGTAGATCCAGGAGTAATTCTGGGTGTAATTCGTACAAGAAAGAGGAATTTTGCACTTCATAAGTTGAAAGTAAAGAGAGATCAATATTGACATTACTGAATTGTCCCTTTATTTAACACCAATTTGACGGAATAACAAATGGAGGACTAAATTGAGCGAAACACAAAAGTCTGGGACGATATTAGGTCACCAAAGTCGTTTAGGACTAAATTGAGAAAAACCACTATAGTCGAGAACGATTTTGGGTATTAACTCCACACCTTCTTATCTCGTCTTTCTTCTTGTCAAGTTGGCGTCTTTTGGTTTCCATCATTCTGGGGTGAAATAAATCGTACTCGTTTATTGCATAAAAATGTGCATAACAACTGCAATTGCAAATGAACTTACACAATTGATAATGACTTCTGGGATTCAAGGTGTCGCTTGATGGTAAATTGGTGTAAATTGATAAAAATGGGAAATTGGTGTAAATTGATAAAAATGGGAAAATTTTCATAGTGCTGGACAAAGTTGGGAAACTTTGAAAACTGAATAACCTTAGGAAAAATGTGACTATTTGTCAAATGTGACACATTTTTTAAAAAATTTAAAAATTCAAACGCAAAATGTGAGACATTTAAAAAAAAAAAATTAAAAAATGTGGTGTATGGACTTATATATATACTAGTATTTTATATGCGCGATGCGTAAAAATATATGCTCAATATTAGTATTGAATGTTAAAATCTTAATTATATTAAAATATTTTTTTTTTAAATAATAGTATATAATTTTCTTTTAATTCATAGTTGTAGAATACATATTTTTTTTTTTGAAACGTAAAATACATATTATATTAAAAATATAGTTGATAATTTGAGTTATAATTATTGTATGATTTTTTTTGAAAATAATTATTGTATGATTAATAATATTCAAGTAAGTATTTTAGATATGATAAATTACTAAATATAATTATGGTAACATTTAATTAAAATCTAACTGAAATCAAACTTATTGTGTATAAATGTTCAAAAACATTTTGTGTATGCATGTTTATGGTAATAATAATAGAAAAAGATAATAGAAGTTATAACAGAAGAAATATTTTTGTCTAAAAAATTAGATAGTACAACTCTTATAGCGTAACGTATAAAAAAATTAACAGAAAAAATAGACATAAATCAGAGATATAACCTGAATTGAGAATTGTTATTTTTTAGATATGCACACCTAAAATTACCTATGTTACAAATTTGAGTATGTTGCAATAATGAAGATTTTTTGTGGACTTGCAGCGAATAAAAGAATGAACTTTGCCCGTGCATGTTTCGCATACAACTGCTTAAATAGCTATTGCGTGACCTCTTTTTCGCTTTCCCCTTTTTCGTCTTTTTTATTCTTTTCTTTTCTACCTCTCTTTCTAGTGGCACACAAATTCTAAAAAATGAAAATAATCATTGTGGATTTGTGGTTGCTCTTACAAGTGAGGAAAAAGTGAATTTTAACATGAATACCAAAGCTCCATAAAATAAAAAATAAAAAATAAAAAAAACTCTCAACTCAATGCTATTAAAAATATAAAGTCAAGAAGATTTTATGCACAAGTGGAAAAGTGGATTTCATCATTTCAACTGGAATGCCAAAGCTCTATGAGAAAAAAAAAAATCGCATTGCAAAAGAATCAAATTCAACCCAAAGCTAATTGGCACATTACAAAGCCGTCGCCTGAGAGATTCGAACTCTCGCGGGGAAACCCCATGTACTTAGCAGGCACACGCCTTAACCACTCGGCCAAAGCGACTAACACGTTGCAAGAATAAACGTATATCATATATCTAGTAAACCATATAACGATAAAGATGTTAGGTGAAGTAGGAAGAAACTACATTGGAGAATGTTAATAATACAAATTAATTATTTTACAATAAATGCCCAATGAGCATGAAGAGACGAAAATTAATTAGCACTAATTTTGGTTTTGTTGAGGTAAAATAATTTTTTTTTTTTTTTTTTTTTTGGAAAACTTAAAATAATTTTTTGATTCACAAGAAATTTAAAAAATTGATTATTCCATAAAAAATTGAGAGTTGAGGTAAAATAATTTAGGGGTCATTGTTTTCATTTTTTGTACTTGCCATTTTATGTAAATTTAATTTATTTATATTATGTATATAATATATTAATTGCATGCATATTATTTGAAGAGTTAATTCCATTTTTGGTCCTAGATTTATAGGTGACAATTTACTTTAAATCATCTTTTATTAGAACATTCACTTTTGGTCATAATATTATTGTGGTATGATCATTTTTGGTCCTTTATTAACAAAACAGTTTAAATATCGTTAAATACAATGGTATTTTGGTCTTCAATTATGGAACTTTTTCATAAAAATAAACATAAAACATATAGCACTTCAACCTACTTTGTATAAAAAAGATTGAAATGTCTTTGTATTTAACCAACATTTCAACGATTTTGTTGAAGGAGGACTAAAAATGATCATGTCACAATAATACTATGACTAAATGAAGATGTTCTAATAAAAAAAGGACTAAAAGTAGACTGTCATATATAAATCTAGGACAAAAAAATGAAATTACCTCTTATTTGAATGTTATTTTGAACCAGGATCTACAATACAATGTAGACCCTGGTCCATGGTATAATTTTACAATCGTTATGCTATGGACCCGTGTCCAGCATGCAATGTGGACACGGTAATGGTGCCGTTGCACCGTTATCTTCCACTTATATATATATATATATATATATATATATATATATATATATATATATATATATATTTCAGACCGCTTCGTTATAGGAGTATATGTTCATAATTTTACCACTATATGTTCATAATTGTAAGTTCATAATGACAGAGCTCTGTGTTCATAATTCCATAACTGTACATTCATACTTCCATAACTGTACATTCATAATTCCGTAATTGTACATTCATAATTCAATAACTGTAATTCATAATTTCCGAAGCTCTATGTTCACAATTTTAGAGCTCTATATTCATAATTTTATCACTATATGTTCATATTGTAAGTTCATAATGTCAGAGTTCTGTGTTCATAGCATTCATAATTCCATAACTATACATTCATAATTCTATAACTATACATTCATAATTCGATAACTATACATTCATAATTTTTGAAGCTCTATGTTCATAATTATAAGTTCATAATGTTAGAGCTCTGTGTTCATAATTCCATAACTATACATTCATAATTCCATAACTGTACATTCATAATGCCACAAACGAATAATGCTGTTAACGGTGAGACAAAATTAATTTTTTTAAAAAAAACTGGAATGCCGCGTTTTCCCTGAAAACGACGTCGTTTTGGACTCGTGTCCACGATGCATTGTGGACACGAGTCTACAGCATAATTTGCGATAATTTTAAGGGTTTTTAATTTCCGGGTGATGGGCAGGCCCAAGAGTTTTTAAACGTTCATTGCCGAGGCCCATTTCCTTTAGAAAAGCCCAATTATTGACAAATCCTATTTATACCGTTGTTGTAGACGTCTTAACAAAATCTCAGCTCTAAACAAACCCCAATTCGAACTCTGCGCTTTTAGCTGTCGGAACCGATCCCTAACGTAAACGGAATGGCATCTCTGGACACTGACGTGGCAATGGTTCCGGCCGGCGAGGGTTCCAGCGGCGCTACTCCGTCGTCTTCAACGAAGAAAGGAAAGAAATTCGAGATCAAAAAGTGGAATGCCGTTTCCCTCTGGGCTTGGGGTTTGTCTCTATAGCCACACTCACCTTTCTCTCACACACATTTATATACGCACTTATTCATGTAATTCGACAATTACAGCCATGAAAACCAAAATACTGCTCTCTGGTATTCTAATTTATTTATTTATTTTTGCTTTGCTTCTACGTAAGGGTAGAGCTTTAGCTTGATTACTCCATAATGGTTTCAACCGGTTTAATCAGTTTAGGACTGGTTTCAACCGGTTTAATCAGTTTAAGACTTTAGGTAACTGATTTTTAGTAACCATATTTTTAGTGAAGTCCTAAACCATTGTGGCTAATAATAATGATTTTGTTTATTGTGGCTAGTTTATATGCTAATTCGGTCTTTGTATTCATTTATATGTTTATTGATATTCATAAACTCGTTTACTTCATTATCAAAAGTAGTTAATAAGGTAGAGAGTTTAGTATTTAGGTTTTAAAGTGGATTTTTGGTTTTTAAGATGATTTTATTTTTGGAGATGGTTTTAGGCAATTGGGTTTTTGTTCCTCTGCTGGGAGTATATGAATGTGTCACCCTTTGGGCACTATTAAGTGAATTTTGACCTCTTAATATTGGATATGTTAGTATTGATCTTTTTGGAAATTATTCAATATATTTCATATTTGTATGGCTAATGACTTTGTGGTGTTTCGCATATGCGTCAATTTCAATTTCTAACTCTGCATGTATTTATATTGTATGTATAAAAGATACATTGTGTATCAAGCTAGACCTATTTCAATATTTTGGATTTACATTCTTTATTTGTTGACTCTGCAGATATTGTGGTTGATAATTGTGCTATTTGTAGGAACCATATCATGGATCTCTGTGAGTTTCAGTTGTCTTTCACTCTTTTCTTATGCTGCCATTACAAAGAATTATTCTTGCTAGTTTGGGGATGAACTTTTCATGCTATTTTACTAGGTATCGAGTGCCAAGCTAATCAAGCTAGCGCCACAAGTGAGGAATGCACTGTTGCTTGGGGTTTGTACCTTTCTCCTAGTCTATTACCATTTCACACTTTGGGTTCATATCTCAACTAAGAATACTTTGCTGATAGTCCTCGGTATACATTTTGTAATTGTCTTTATATGTTAGTTATTAATTATTATTTTCATTTATTTGTGCATGTTGTTGTATTTATCATATATCTCTAGAATCTGATGAAAGAATTGTTTAGTCATCTTCTTTTTCCTCCTTTATAAACAAATTTGTTCTTCTCTAAATTTCCATTTACATCCATGCATTTGCTTTTCTATGTTGCAATTCTTGCTAGAGTTAATATTTCGAAGCTTGAAGGATTTGCAATACTTGATAAACTGAATGTTCTCAAAGCATTTTGAGCATAACACAATGTCACAATATTATTGTTAAATATGGATGGCACTCACTCACTTGCCTCCTAATGTTCTGTTATTATTGCCTACTATGTGTAATAGTGAATTAGTGATGTCATTGCTTTAGTGGTAATACCTCATCACTATTGACAAGGGCTCTGTATGGTGTTGAATTTGGAAGATGGAATGGCCTGGCGGGTGGAGAATAATACCACCCGCCAGTTAGGCGGAAGCGATAATCAAGACTAGGAAATGAATATAAGACTAATATTATATTAGTATTCTCTCTGTTTCTAATACAGAAACACAGTACATATATATACACAAATACATAACTGTAAGTAACTACTCGTAATTACCCATAACTGACACCTATTCATAAACAGACACAACCCTATAGATAAACCTAACTCTTTAGTTTTCAACACTCCCCCTCAAGCTGAAACATCTAGAAGTTCCAAGCTTGGATTAAAACATACACTCTACATTACAAATGAAGATTAAAAGCAGCCAGAGAATAACAGTGTTGGATGGCTTCGGAGGAACAATGCTATAAACAACCCTTGGGAATGAAGGCACCAGGGCGAAGCTTGTCACAAACAACCTTGGGAATGAAGTCACCAAGGGCGAAGATTAACACGAACACCCTCACAGCAACATAAGCCTTCTAGGATTTGCCAATCAACAATCTCCATCAAGAACGGCAGAGCAACCAAATCATGAGCAGCAAAGGGGATGTAGTAGAGCCCATAGATTGTTGTATGAATACCGAGAAAACCACATGATTGTTGTTTATACCTCTTATAGGATAAGTGAATAACAAAAGAAGCTTCCGGAAATAAACAAGGTGCCAAACATGAAAACCCTAGGGACTAAGTATGGTATACCGAATATAAAGAAACAAATACGGTTATACCAAAAACACCCCGGAAAGAGGTTTGGCAACCAACCCAAAAAGCCTTCAAACTTCACCAAAAGGTCCAAGGGCAAAACAACAATCTGGAATTTTCACCGGAGAATACATCACAAGGAAAAATACAATTTTGATGTTTGAAATACCCTAGGAAAGTAGGCTCTGATACCATGTTGAATTTGGAAGATGGAATGGCCTGGCTGGTGGAGAATAATACCACCCGCCAGTTAGGCGGAAGCGATATGAAGAATCAAGACTAGGAAATGAATATAAGACTGAAATTATATTAGTATTCTCTCTGTTTCTAATACAGAAACACAGTACATATGTATACACAAATACATAACTGTAAGTAACTACCCGTAACTACCCATAACGGACACCTATTCATAAACCAACACAACCCTATAGATAAACCTAACTCTTTAGTTTTCAACATATGGCACGCCTAGTTGAAAGTTGAAAAGCTAGTAGCTAATAAACTAACTAATTGAAATTAAAGTGTTTGGTAAAATTAATTGTTGAATTATCTGATAAGTGTAAAAACCATAAAAGGATAAACTAAGATATTAGGATTTTGATTAATGATTTTGTAAATTAATAAAGATAAAAAAGGAAAAAAGTTTAAAAAGCCAAGAGCTTATTTTAAACACTTGTGTTAGTGTTTCAAAATAAGTTACGGTTACCAAACAGAGCTTATAATTTATTTGTAGCTTAAAATAAACTATAAGCTTTACCAAACAGAGCCAAGGAGCTCAGATTGATTGAACCTACAAAGCATTGTGTAGTGTGTGTTTTTTCCCTGGGAACTATTGTTTTGCGTTATAGAACTGAACGTTTTGATCTTAAGAATGATGGACATGGAGTCCTCATGACAGCCACAGGTTTCAGTGAATTCAAGTTTAAGGATTGAAGTTTAATGGTCTTAGTTGCAGATATCTATTGTAGTATTGCTGTTTCAAATATGGACATCTGTCATTAGATTTTATACATTTATTGTTGTTGTGATTAATGCTAAGATTGCTCTTTGTAGGAGTTTGTAACCATGCCTTCCACTTCCATTGCATTAGCCGATGGCTCAAGACTCGTCAAGTCTGCCCCTTGGGTAGTTCTTTTGCTTGCCATCTCTATTTTAAGTGGCATTCTGTCTTCTTCGTATTTTACTTAATTCTTATATGATACATGTTTCAGACAACAGCGAGTGGGAGTTCCAGAAGTACGGGCACTAGAAGAATCATTTGCCAAATCGGCTGTAAGTGTTTAAGAAGTCTTATGAAGCATTGGCGCAGTTTGTGATGTGGAATGTGTGTATGGCGACAATGTGAATGTTTTTTTATTGCTAGGCAAGTGAATTCATTAGGTGAATAGGGTTTATTACTTATTGAGCAAAATTCATGAAGCAGACACTATTAATTTCGTTAGTTTTAATATGCTATAGTGGTATTTATTTTTCTTTTCTTTTCTTACATTTAGTTTTACTATTTTAATTTCGTCACATATTTAAAGTTAAGGGTGTAATGTGATTAAATTAAAAATAAAAATAGATGTAGAGGTGGCAAATGGGCTGGGTTTGCTCGGTGTCTATAGTAACGATTTGCATTGTTCATGGCAAATTATATCATGCACTCTTGGGTTCACTTTGCAAGATAAATTTGTAGTATATTAAAAATAATGAATTTTAATGAGTGATCTATCTTGTTACGTGAAACATAGTACACGGTATAAGCAATCATTATTGGCCCACACAAGTTGTGTGGATCATATTTTGTATACTATAAAATAATGTACATTCAATTTAAAAATAATATATATTCAGTACAAAAATAATGTACATTGTATTCAGAGAATGTATATTATTTTTGTACTAAGTGTACATTATATTGTATAATATACACTTAGTAAAAAAATAATGTACATTTAGTATATTAAAAATGTACTTTTTGTTATGGTTCATATAACACTGTGTGGTCCACACAGTGTGGACCATAATTTGCGAGGTATAAGTATTGCATTGTTCATGGATTGGGTTGACCTAGTCCACATAGTCACTATGTGCTACCCAAGCCACAACCAGTTGTTATATTATAGACCGCGGTGCATATGCACCGCGGTCAAAACGACACCGTTTCTTTAAGTAAAGAAACGGCCCGTCGTTAGAGTTAACGGAGTCCGCTTATTTGGTGTATTAAACATCAACTAACACTACAGTATATCCAAACCGACACTACAGTTATATCAAAATGATACTGTAGTTATAGTGAAATGAAACTGCAGTGTATATAAACTGAAACTGAATAACATTTCACATATTTGAGTGTATATTGTACAATGAAGCTGTAATTATATCAAAATGATCATGTAGTTGTGTTTTGTTGTGTTTTAATGAAACTATAGTGTATATAAAATAAAATTAAATAACATTTTCACATATTTGTGTCTATAAATATCGAATGAAACTATAGTTATATCGAAATGAAATTGTAGTTGTGTTCAACTGAAACTGCAGTGTATACAAAATGACACTGAATAACAGAGTTACTTTTTGCAAAAGAGTGCGAAACGGCGGAAACAAACACTGTTAATTTTCATTTAAAAAAAAAAGACGCGCGGTGCATAATCGATTATACACCGCGGTGCATAATATAATTTGCCAGCCACAACCCAGTCCATAACCCTCAAAAAAGAATTGTGCAACAAATATGGCAAAAATAATATTGGTAAAAATATGGAAGTGATTTAATTGTTATGGGATCAAAAATATAAATATGGTGACGTTTAGTTACAAAAAAATTATACTTTACTATTGGATTTGATATTCATTAATATGTTTGTTTGTTTACTTTTGTTGTTGACCTGTAGATTTAAAACTACTCTATAGTCCATACCTAATGTCAATAATCAAACACTTAACGTTTGATTAAGGACTGGTGAATATATATATTTAATGGCTTAAAAGAAGAAAAATTATTTTAAAAAAAACACGCTTGTGCTAATATGCATACAATCATCAACTGTCTCAAACTGATGTATCTTAAAATATAAAATTACCCACCTTAAGCTTTAAATATACGCACCTTAAGAAGAAAAATGATGCACTTAAAGTTTTAGACCGATGCACTTTAAAAGAAAAAGAAAAAACGAAGTGTAAAAGTTCAGTGATTTATTTGACATTTTTTCGTTTTTTAGAAAGATCTTACTCCATATTTTAAGTGTAGGGATCAAATTCCATTGACACTTATAATGTGTTTGCTATTTAAATCATTTGTATCAAATTGATTATGTTTCATATTTTGTCATTCTCAGCCTAGCAATTATGACCATATTGATTTGGAACTAGATTTGAAATAGGATTAAAACTCATTTTAAAAACAATAGAACATGGATGACAATTGGATGATGGCAATGCAGGCTCCATGGGAGTGTACCTGCGAATCTGCGATGCGATCATAATTCTGCTTTAATTGGGAAAATTTAAAACAAAAAACGAAAAGCAATTGAGACGAATAGTTTGCTTGGAATTGAAGTTGGAAAGGCCAATTCCTTTGAGCTGAAGTAATATTATCTTTTCTTTCAATTCTATAAACGCAAGTTTTGCTGTTTCATCCATAATTTATTATCGGGGACCTAATAAGTTAAGGCTGACAAGCTGAATAGTGGTAATAAAATAATAGTTGCATAGAAGAGCTTTTTGTTACGTTGGGCGTCGACTGGGTTGATCGAGTTCAGCCCCTACTCGTTTTAAGATGTGGTGTTGTAACTTACAATGTGGTTAAATGGTTAATGTCTACCTACTTATCACCAATTAATTTTAAGTAGGGTATGATAATCAGATAGCCAAGAAACTCTATGGTTAAGCGTGGTTGAGTTACAGCAGTCACATGATTGATGATCCCCTGAGATCCATCAATTGGTATCAGAGCTGAGGTCATGAGTTTGATTCGATGGCGAGACAAAAACCGAATCTAGTTTCAGATGAGATGTGGGCGTAGGTCGGGCCAAGTCCAATCCCAGGAGGGGATGATAAGCGCGAAGGCTAAGGAGCTAGTCAGACATGCTGCGCAATTGGTCTTGGTGTTCAAAGGTTACGACAGCCGACAGGTTTTGGGAGGGGGATTGTTGGGTGTTGACCGGGTTTGCCGAGTTCAACCCCTGCTCGATTCAAGACATGGCGATGTAACTTACCATGGAGGGTTGTGGTTAATTAAATGGTTAATGTCCACATACATATCACCAATTGGTTTTAATTAAGTAGGATATGTGTAAGATATATTAAATATAATATATATAATATAATATATATTAAATATAATATATCTATATATTATATTTATATATATTGAGAAGAGAGAGAGAGGAATAGATAAGTAATTTGATTGATGACCTAAAATGCTTGAATACAAAGACTATTTATACTAAACAACAAAACTAACAAAGCATAAATTTAGGGAAGTAAAGCTCCACATGTACCACATAGCTTTCATGTAATGCTTCCACATTCCCATTACACAACTCCACGTTTTTTCAAAGCATTATACAACTTCACTAACGGCTCCTTATTCCCATTTACTTGGTTTAATAATAATTATAATAATCATTGCCTCCTTTAAACCAAGTTGGATATATTGGTCATCCCAATTTCCTTCTTCAATTTGAGAAATGTCTCTGTCTTCAGCGGCTTCGTAAAGATATCTGCAACTTGACATTCACTTGAACAATACTCAATGTTTTGTTTTTCAACAACCAACTCTCTGATTTTGTGATACTTGATATCAATGTGTTTGCTGCGACCATGAAAGACTGGATTTTTGGACAACGAAATTGCTGACTTGTTGTCACAAAAAATAGTTGTAGGTGCTTCTTGCTCGTGTTGTAGGAACTCCAAAATTCTCCTCAGCCAAACTGCTTGAGTAGCACAGTTTGCTGTTGCAATATATTCTGCTTCTGCAGTTGAAAGTGCTACAATCTGCTGCTTATTTGAAGACCAAGAAAATATGGCTGAACCAAAATAAAAGGCATATCCTGATGTGCTTTTTCTGGTCTCAACATCTCCAGCCCAGTCACTATCTGTATACCCAACAAGCTTCACAGCTTCATTTGTAGAGTAAAAAATTCCATCATTACTCGTACCTTTGACATATCTCAGAATTCGCTTTGCTGCAGCCCAATGTGATTCTTTTGGTTCCTCCATGAATCTGCTAAGTATTCCAATTCCAAAAGAAATATCCGGCTTTATTGCCACCAGATACCTCAAACTCCCAATTAAGCTTTTATAAGCTGTAACATTCACATTCTTACCACACTCATCTTTGGACACCTTTAAATTTTCAGCTAACGGCGTTGAAACTGGTTTGGAGTTTTCCATTTTGAACTTTTTCAAAATATCAGCAGCATACTTCTTCTGTGAAATAAAGATTCCACCATCCATCTAAATAACCTCAAGGCAAAAAAAGTAAGCCATAAGGCCCATATCAATCATTTCAAACCTCTTAATGAGTGCCTCCCTGCATTCTGAGATTAGCTTCAAGTTGTTTCCAGTAAAAACCAGATTATCAACATACAGACAGATTATCACAATATCACCAGAATCCGTGCATTTGACATACAAAGTGTGTTCATGAGGACATCTCATAAAACCACTTTCAACAAAATATGAGTCAATGCAACCATACCACGCCCTAGGCGCTTGCTTTAAGCCATACAAGGCTTTTCTCAACCTGTACACTTTATTTTCCTCCCCTTTCTTCAGAAATCCTGCAGGTTGCTCAACATATATTTCTTCTTCAAGAAAACCATTCAAAAAAGCAGACTTGACATCCATTTGATGCAATTTCCAATCATTTTGAGCAGCAAGAGAAATAACCATTCGAACTATATCAAGTCTACTTACAGGAGCAAAAACTTCAAAATAATCAATACTTGGTTTCTGCTTGTAACCCTTTGCTACTAACCGTGCCTTAAAACGGTCAATTTCTCCATTTGACTCGTACTTCGTTCTGTAAACCCACTTCACTCCAATTGGCTTCTTTCCAGGAGGTAAATCTGTTAACTCCCACGTACCATTCTTTTCAATGGCACGTATCTCCTCATCCATCGCCTTAAGCCAATGAGTTTCTGTAGTAGCCTCCTCAAAAGATAAAGGATCACAATCTGCAAAGAGAGCAAATTGAACAATCTCTTCATCAGACAGGTCATTATCATGACCCAAAACATAATCTTACAAGCGAGCTGGTAAGTGGCGCTCGCGCTGAGATCGTCGAACTGACGACTCTGGCTGTGAAGGAGACTGGACAATATCTGGAATTGGTTGCTCATCAACAATATTTTCAACAACAGGAATAACAACTGAACTTTCATCTTTAGCTAACCAATCCTAGACACTATATTCATCAAAAGTGACATCACGACTTATAACAATCTTCTTAGTTTCAGGA